CCGCTGTCCTGTCGGTTGCGATCGGAAAAATATAATGGTTCGTACATTCTCATAGAAACCTGTTATGCTTCCGCGACTGTGCCGTGTTAGTGTAGAGGTTCCTATGAACTGAACACATTCGGCAGAGAGTTAGTTTAAAGGATGGTGGCGAATATGCGAGTCTCAGGGTCATGTCGTTCAGAATATAATCGCACAAATACATTTAGCTGACTAAATTTTTAGCAAAGCGAACAATGAGCAAATATGAGCTAAAAATCTTAGTCGGTTGTTTATCAGTGAGCGTTGGTATTCTTGTCCAGCCGGAGATATCAAAGTTTTTGGTATATTTCCTATTGACCCAACTGTAAAAACTACGGCGCCTCGGTGGGAGTCGAACCCACGCAGTAAAGGGAGGGCTTTAGTACAGCCAACGCTCTATCTACTTGAGCTACGAGGCCCCACCGGACGACGCGAATTTAATCACACTTATGAAAAGTTACTCGCCCAACCTACTGCAACGTCTGGAATCCACCAAATCTGATAAGGTTAGTTGGCAGCCCAAGCAGGATTTCATAAGTAATTCACCTCGAATCCACCAGATGACTATCAAGCTCACCTAATTAATAGATGTTTTGGCAGATTTTGAAGATAATCTAATAGATACTCTGAATAGGTAACTTCATTTTCGTTTTCGACTGTCTTTAAACGTTAGACAGATTTCATATTCTCCTTTTTTGATAGTCTCCAAGAATCCGTCTGATTTCGATGTTTATTGCAGTCCGACTTCAGATAAATTGTTCAAATTCGCTCTAGTTAATTTCTGACAGGCTTTCTTGAGGTTTCTGTCTAATTGCTTGCTCAAAGCCTCCCCAAAGATTTCCCTTATTCCTAGAGTTATCATCGAACGATGGATAATTTCAATACTCTCACGTTTCCGGGATGCCACTGGAATCAAAGCAATGTGTCAACAAGTCCGGACATATCAAGTTATTTGGGTACATTCAATTTCATAAAATGCTCTATACACCGTAAAAATGCTTAAATGTAGTGCAAGCATTGCGTTCCCTGTATGCTTGTTTCTTGGATGTCCTTTATGAAAGATTATGAGCAAAGCTCACTGGGAATATCTATTGAAAATCTATACTTTCTAACTTACTTGTCTTTGTAAATTAAGAGTTTATTGAAGCAGTAGCAATGGTTTTGAAAAAATTCTTCCCACTTCTACATGAAAATTTACTAATTCGGAGAACAGTTGAGGACAGACATATACTTGAATTTCTGAATTTCAAAGATACACTTTGTGCCATCTCAACCGACCTTTGGGTTTAAAAGTCTATTAGAACTAATGGGCCGACATCGATTGCATTTCCGGCGAGGATTTCCTCGAGATGACCCCATTTACGATAAACAGTTTCACTCAGTAAATTTTGCTTAATAAATTTGACCAAAATTACAAGATATGCATGAGAAAAAATGAAAGGAGTCTACCTTAGACAACTCCTTACGGGAAGGCTCAAGATTTATTTATAGGCATTTCTTGGCCCCTAAGCATTCATGGCTACTTTTTGTTGTAACAAGCCCCAGCTTATGAATGATGCCTTGTCCGGCATATGCAACACTTTTTCACACTTTCCACGTCCAATTTCCTATACGAAAGACGGCTTGACGCTGAAAGAAAGCGGTTGCCAATGCATAAATAACGAATAAAACCAGTAAAGTCGGCGAATTCCCCTGGAGAATTCGGAAAACAACGATACAAAAGGACACAGGGTTATGAACATCCTCTACCTGGTAATACAGGCGGACACGCACTAAATTCCAGACTGGCTTCTTTTCTGGTTTTCCAAGTTTGACCATTGTCTTAACCCTTACAATTACACAAACACCAGTTCAAACTCAAAACCAGACCCTTTCCAGTCTCACCCGAAAATGCCTAAGCCGCGCGTTCGCCTCAGTACCAGTTCTTGCTCCTCTGGAACATAGATCAAGGTGAACAGTAATAAGAAAGTCCATATGACGACACGAAATCGATTTTTTGGTGCTGATCACTTCATTTGCTGATATGTGCGTAGCCATCACAACATATGCTTTCTCATTCTATCGAGAATGGAGAGAGTTTTGAGGTTCCTGGCCACTGTTCGGCATCACAGTCGATACCTTCTGTGTCCTGAACGATAGACGAACTTCAGTGTTTGTGCAAACGATAGAACACATTCCCATCCCTTTTATATTTTCTTCTTAGTTAATTTTCCAAGTGTCGTAATAGCCTTGACAGACAACTGGGTACAATAGATTAATAAACTGTTCTGTCGAACGTTAAGTATTGTCGGACTTTTACGGTTACATTGAGGCATGCATGTAAAGCATACAATTAGGGCTCTCGGTGAAATTGCCGGTGGGAAAAATCTGCACAAAGCATTTAAAACTTCTTTATCACGAACGATTCCGTAGCCAGTGTAATCATACAGTGCAATATATTTGCTTTCTGAATTCTGAAAATACAGTTTGCCTAGTTGATGATCAACATAAATGAAATCAGTGAAATTCCCTGCGGAACTACTTCAATCAAGCAGGATACAAAGCCTGTCCTTGTGAAAATCTATGTCATTCAATGTCGTCAAGTGCTCTTTACTTCGACGTCTACCCAATGCTTGTAGGTTAGGCACGAGAGAACTCCCCTTTCGTGTCACAGGCGGCCTTACCCTAAATTCCAAAGAGAAGTTTAAATTTGGACCAATTTTTGCTTTTCAATTTTCTCAGACGTTTACAGTGGAGTTGGAGTAGATCAGTATATTTCACGTCTATAGGCTCAGAACAAAATTTTTACATATGAATATTTGGGCCCAAGTCCATCCACCACAGCGGGTAACCGCGTAATATTAATGAACTACCGACAGGCAGCTAGTATATTTTAGGACAAGGGGCTACCATAATAACAGCACAGGTGCCAGCCAAAAGCCCGTACACGCATGTTTTGCCGATATTCTGCCGTTACATGACACGACAGTTCGTCCGTCGATTTCGACGACGACCACCGTGTGCCCCACAGACTGCATTGTGGGAGCAGGGACGGTGACTTACGCAGGGGTTTATAGTGCCAGTAGACTTGCGTAACATCTACCTACACTCTCTCCTCCTCCCTCGCCTGGGCCCGGTGTCAAGACAGAGTCAAGAAGACCGGAGACGGGGGAGGCCGCAGGTGGATGGCTCGGACGGATCCTCACCTTGGCGTTCCACCACACCCCCTGGTCCACACAACAATAACCAGGATTTCAACCAACACA